AAGAGAAAATGGCTTGTTATCTTTAGAGAATGAGAAAATTAACTTATCTCGAGAAAACCACAGTGAAAAAGTATCTGAGGGAAACGGCCACCCTCAGCCTCCATATTTTCCTTCCTTACAACAGTAGGCAGCAATATCTCACCCTGTGCTCGTAGCTTCTGGAGCCCATGAGTTCACCAGGGTTTGAAAAACTAGATCAATACGCTAGTGGGAAGTTTGTGTTGGGATTAATGTTACAAGCAGAGTTTAAAGACGTGTGTATTATTTTATGGCTCCAAGAATCAATAGTTATTTACTACAGGCTTTAAATGGCTTTATTAAATAAAGCTGCTGTTTATTTCTGAAATACTACAGGTATCCATTCACGATAATTAGGTTTTGTTCTAAGACTTTTCATTTTACGTTATAGAACAATATAAGGTCATTACAAATTCACAAGTGCTTAAAAAAGGTTTTGTGAAATTTTTCAATTTTATTACAAGCAAATATCTGAAAATTGCTGCATGTACTTAGCCCCTGTTTGACCTGATCCATGTAAATGAAGAAGACACATGATTAGTGTTTGATTTATTTCTGCATTAATGCAGCTGTTCGGTGAAGACATCACTGGTTCATGGAGAACAGTTGATGATCTCATCAAGCACTGTAACATCAGTCATCTATGGCACATGCAAATCTACCGACTTCTTTTGGCAGAATCTTGAATTGGCCTTAAAAGAAATTTGCAAAAAAAAAAAGATTTCCTATTAAAGAAAGCCTAAATAAATCCTATTAAACTGAATCATCATGTCACACAATGACTTTTTATTGTCATTTTGTGACTAAATAATTATAAATAATATAATATATAATAATATTATATAGTAAAATAACTGAATGAAGGGCTAAATAATTTAGCCAAAACTCAAAAATTTTGATTTTTCTTTTAACTAACATTGTGATTTATTTTGATTTTCCTCCTTCCTATTACTTTTTAACTTTTTATTGGACCATCAGATAAAATAACAAAAACATCAATTAGAACCAGTGAATTTGTGCTTAACCCTCAACTATATCAGCATTTGCAGCGTAATCTCAGGTCAGCTGGATTATCAGGATGCGTTAGAGGTTCTATTGGCTGCGTGTGTGGAGAATAATTGTCCATTTATCAGACAAAGGGAGAATGACGGGAAGGTCAGCTCTTGCATGCAGGAATTACCCATGTGGTCCCGGGGTTCAGGTGTTAATATGCACTGATGTCCCTAATTGGTATCCCTCTGGGGAGGAGTCCAGGATGAGGAGGAGTGGGGGTAGGAAGAAAGCAGGGGCATTGATTGAGGCGTTTGGGGGTTTGAGAGGCGATGAAGGAGAGGAGGATGGGTGTGGAGGACAGAAGACTCAGTAGGGAGCAGAGGGGGAATGTGTGCAGGAAAGGGAATGACAAGAAGCTTTAAGCTGACAAGCTTTTCTCCAGAATTATAATCCCAGCCCTCCTCTCCTCTCCCTTTTTTTTTTTTGCCATGTTCTTCATCGCTGATCCATCCAACCAACCATCTATCCTCACCTATTCTTCTCTCCCCACCAGCTGCAGTGCAGAGATCTCTGCCAAAGCCCCTGTCAAGCCGTCAGGTGACCGGGACGGAGGCTGTGACATCACCGCCCCCTCGACCGACTGTCAGCCCCTCGCCGTTGCCATGGCAACGCCGACAACGGCCTGCGGAGCCGAAGCCGCTGACGAGGAGCCTGCAGGAGAAGCAGCCGGGGAAGGGGAAGAGACGAGAGGATGCGTAAGGACCTGTTTCTTTTGTTATTTGCTCCGTCTGGTTTTGTTATGTCATTTTTCTGCATCCCCTGTGCATCTGCGCCCGTCAACGTCGTCCTGCAGCAAAAAAGAAGTGCTTAAATCTATCAGTATTCAGGGATGACTGGGACAAGCAAGGAGACTGCGACACACGTATGCACATCACCCGTGGATCTTTTATGCAGAGGTATTTGCTTTGACAAGAACAAGCATGCGTTGCTCCGTCCTCCACCAGCAGCTGGCGGTCTGAGGACGGATAAAAAAGCAGGATTAAGACGCCCCTCAGGCACCAGGTTGCTGCTGAAAATCATTCCTTCTTTCTGCTGCTTTGGCTGCAGCTAACATCGAGCTCCCCGCTGCATCTGCAGAACAGAAGATCCTGTCTGATCGGATTGATATTTTTGCTCCCTGATTTGCATGTTTGAAGGTAGCTTAGAGAACAGATGTTGAGGTGCGTTTGTGTTCTTTTTTTTCAATTTCTATGTCAGGTTTTGCATCATAGCTCGCCTCTGCATTCCCAAAGTAATGGCTGCTGTTTGATCGCTCAGCAGAATATTAATTATTCTTATTCAGTTTACCTGATCCCTGCTAGCTCCGCATCATAGCTTTCTGATATGAAAGACATGGCGATCAAAAGTGCACCCTGTGCGTCATGTCAGCAGGTCCCTGTCAGAGCACATGTAATGCAAGAAATGTTTTCGTATTTAAGACGATATAATCGATCTCAACTGAATTGGGAGACTACAGGGTCAAAAAGCAGCTAAACTTTGCTCCTCAGGTTGTTACTTGATGATTGAACCTGAGGAGTCTGCTTTGTTTGGGATTTCCTTTCATCACTTGCAGAAAAGCCCAAGAGACCATCAGACGAATACTTCTTTTATATCCTCAACCCTGTGTGATTTTAAGTAGTGATAACAGCATTTGTTTTTTTTATGTGTAGCTTGTTGTGCTTGCCAGGAAGTTCGTGCTGCATCTGAGATGAAATTGGGATTCCTGGCACCTCTAAAAGCTAGGGATCAGAGGGATAAGTAGAAGCTCTTATGTAACGTCACCATCACAGCAAATCATGGTGACACTGCAGAGGAAAACTCTACTCAGAGGGATATATTTTAAAGTATTTATTTATGTCAACCTTGATAATCATTGCTTACAGCTGATTTAAAAGCAAAGATTTCTCAAAGCTGGGAATGTTTGATCTGAACTCTAGAAATCTATGTTGGTCTGCGTGATCCAAGGGTAGACTGACTTTACAGTTAAGTAGACATTTGACAAAACTGCAGCTTTGAATGATTATGAAGCAAAACCTGTTGAAGAGTTTGGCAGCATCTCAGAAGAGCCACAGGTTGATTGTCAGTATTAGTGCAGTATTTCATGCAGATTAAGGTCAGAGCAACCATTGAATGCATTGCTTTAAGTGAATGTAGTTTAGAGAAATTAGACATTTTTACAATAAGGAAATTTTGGTTTTGTTTTAAATATGCATTTTCTAAAAAAAATGAACTTTTTCATAGAATTGTGAGTACAATGAAGGTACCACTCATAGTACCTTGAGAATTAACCTATAAAATATGAGTTCCCCTTTTTGAATTGAATTACTGAAATAAAATATCGTAATTTATTGAAACACGCATGAATATACATCTCCTGATCTCTACTCAGAAAAAAGTAATTTAATTAACCAGTTGATGGAGAGCTGTGTCCGTTTCATTGATCCTCATGTTGTTTCCATACAGCCGCACACAGGCCTGGGTTGCAGGCGCTCCAGCTCGGACGCAGCCTACGAGCCGGCTGAGACGGTGAGGGCACAGCGCGAGTGTCGCCTCCGGCCCCACTACAGTGATCCCATGCCAGCGGACGCCTCCAAACGCAAACAGCTGGAAATGAAGATTGCTGCGGCTGCCCGGCTCCATGGTCATCGGCGGGACAGGGACAGGGACAGAGACAGAGCCAGTGGTAAGTGAAGACCAAACAGGTCAATGGAAGGAGGAAATAGTAAAGGATGAGGAATAAGTAGAGATGAGAGGAAGTACAAACGGGGCATGGAAAAGTTTAGTTGTAGAAAGGAGCAAGTTGGGAGAGATTTACCAGAATGAGGGAGGAAGGGTGTCATCATGAGGATTAAAGGGGATGTTCTACAGGAGTTTGGGATACGGTATGATGGTTAAAAGTTCAGCACAAACAGTAAGGGTTGAAGGAGTTTAGAAATAGAAAATGGATGAAGGAGTTTGGGATAAGGAATGAGGATAAAATGAGTTTGGGGTAAGGGATGAAGAGTTTGGAATATGAAATGAGGGTTGAAGGTGTTTGGGATAAGGCAAGATTATTTTGGGATAAGGGATGAGTGTTGAAGGAGTTTGGGATAAGTAATTAAGATGGAATGAATTTGGGATAACGAATGATGGTTGAAGGAGTTTGGGTTAAAGGATGACATTTTGGGATAAGGAATGAGGGTTTAAGGAGTTTGGGATAAGGGAAGAAGAGTTTGGCATAAAGAGGGTTGAAGAAGTTAAGGATTAGAAAAGGGATAACGGAGTTTGCTCCATACTCCATACTATTGTCTATTTTTATGTTTTCTGGGTATTTTATACTTTATAATCCAATGCATGTAATGTGATGAATGTGTAATGATACATGATGCCAGCCTTAGAACAGAATTATGCAATTTTTTTTTTTTTTTTTTGCTAATTCTGGAATATTTACAATGATTTTTTTTCCCATTTATTTTTTTTTTATTAATATGCATAGTCCTAATTCATTGAGGAAATAAATGAAATCAGATGAGTTTGGGATAAGGGATGAAAAGTTTGGGATACAGCATTAGGGTTGAAGGTGTTTGGGAAAAGGGATGAGTTATAAGGGAGTACTGAGTAAGAGATTATGGGTAAAGTTGTTTGGAATAAGGGAGGAGAAATGATGGCTGAAAAGTTGAGTGATGGGATGATGAACAGGAGCTTAAAGAGGTTGGGAGGAGGTTTAGGAGCCAAAGGGGGATGGAGAAGAGATAGGATTGAAGGAGTTTGGTATTAGAGATCAAGAGAGGATCATTAAAGAGAAAGGAAGGGTGAATTAAAAGAAATGGAATAGTTGAGTACCAACAACAGGTACTTGCAAAGAAAAAGTAAAGCTTAATACCACTGGTTTAGCTACATTCATTTAAGGGACAGGAGGTTGCATAGAACCATGTATGTCTAGCTTTTCTGACTTTTTCCTTGAAGGTATATAACATGTAAAGGTCACAGACACAGAGTAATCGATGTCGACTGTCAGATACCAGGGTTATGGCTTTCCTTTTTTCCACTTGTTATGCAATTGTTTTCCAGGCAGTGTGTGCTGTCAGGATGGTGTGTCCTGTTTTTTATGCCCGCCCTCCCACTGTCAGGCCCCGCGGCCCTGACGTCAGTAAAATCATTGAGGGTTCACTGACTTTCAGAGTCGATTTATCTACTATGTAAAAAAAAAAAACATTCCCATTTGGAAACCATGGCTGTCTTCAATGGAGCTGACGCTGTGACATTTTATGTCCCCATTTCGCACTTTCTGGCGTATTTCCAGTTAACACCAACATTTTGGTTTTTCTTCACATTTTGAAGGAATTTCATTGTTAATCATCCAATTTTGGTTGATATTTACTGTTATTCCAGCTAATGCTTTCCTCCCAGAAACAAAATAGATTTTATTTTCTTGGCAGTAAAAACTATCATCCTTTCGGTGGTTTTTGTTTACCAACTCAATCCTGTGAGTTATTTTTAAAAAAGTTGGACTCATTCAGCCTGTAATTTTGTGTCAGACAACAGTAAAGACTTTTTTATTTCTATTTCAATAGGTCAAGTTTTTCCTGGAAGGCTGCGTATCTAATTTATAAAATAAGATCAAATCTGTAATAGCTTATTCTTGTTGGGCATTACTGAGTATTTGTTATCTGAATTGAATTGGGTCCTTTCAGCCAGCTGGACTCAGAAATACGACAAAGACAGGTAGTTAATTCAAATAAGAAAACTGTAATTTCTTCCTTACAGCACCAGCAGCGATCCGCGGTCACTCTGAACCACCTGGCGAAGAGCGGCAGGCAGTTCTTGACGTGACTCGCTGCGGGCAGCACCGCTGGAGTACCATCAGCAGTCTGAGCTCAGACAGCGGCGTGGTGGGCCTCAGCGATGAGCGGGAGGAGGAGGACCGCGAGCCACGGCATCACCGCAGAACCAGGGGAGCTGAGGTGGAGCGAGTGGACAGCGGCATTGGCCCAGGCCTGTCACGCACGTGGAAGAGGCCATCCGCCTCTCTCAGGGCGTGGGAATCCCAGAGGCCGTGCCCTGATTGCGGACAGAGGGATGGGGTCTCCAAGGATCGGGGGGAGAGAATGTGTGAGCGCTGCTCCAAGATCCGGACCGAGCGTAAGGAAGCCATCCTGGAGTTCTTAAACACTGAGTCGAGCTATGGCGAGGACCTGCGGATCATCAAGGAGGAGTTCTACTGCCCAATGCAGAGTGCCGGGCTGTTGACAGCCGAGCAGCTTACTGTGGTGTTTAGTAACGTTCAGGAGCTTATAGACGTCAACGACCGTTTCACTGAACACCTGCAGGACAGCATTGATCAGGCATTTGACCAGGTGACCTTCTTATCACTTATGAACATACATGCAAATGACCTCATCTTAATAACACCAGCAACCAAAAAAAATGTATTGACTGTAAAAACAGCTAAATGAAATATTGCACAATAAATTGGCTTTAGAAGTAGCTTAATAAGGTAAGATGAACCTGCACAGATCAGCAGCCACTATCAATCATTCGCTCTTTCAGTCCCAAAGAGGCAATAAAGCCATTGTTGATAGAAGGACATCAGAAGTTACCTTTAAATCTCATTCACGTTTGTGAAAAAGGATGCCTTGATAAAATCGAAACAAGTTTCAATTTTAGGTCTAGATGCAAAATGTAAACATTTGAATTTGCTTCAAGGTCATAATGACTAATTTGCATATTGGGCAGTGTGTTGAAATACTGCATTGATCACCAGTTTCTACCCTCCATGCATGCGAGCTACAATTTTTGTCTATTTGCTAGTATTCTGCAGCTCCCTGTATTCATAAGGACTGGTTTACAGCGTTTATGGTATCAGTATCGATATTGGTGCACCTTCTATATGAAAAAGAAAGATCAATGAGAGCAGACAAAGCTAATGGGATGTCCATTCAGTAAAGAGGCACAGCTTAACCCACAAGGGCATTATATATATATATATATATATATATATATATATATATATATATATATATATATATATATATATATATATATATATATATATGCTAAACCTCAAATTGTGTCAAACCTCCATGATTAGATTGTTGAGGACTGCTAAAGTCAGAACTAAAACGTGCATAAGTGTGGGACCCATTCCCCATAACCCATAAACCTTAAGAGCCTTAAGGTAGCAATGTCAAAACTTCCCTTTTACCAGGAAATATCCAGGTCAAAACATTCTTGGACTGAGCCCCCAAAATTCCACCTAAAAATCTGTACCGCCAGCCAAAGATTGTTAAATGTGCATTAAACTTTGTTAGTAGCTTGGATATCTCCTGGTTAAGAAAGTTTTAACATTGCTACCTTAAGCCGGGCATACACTGTGCGATTTGTTTCAATCGTTGCAGATACAGCTCACATTGTAAGCCGAAACCTGTGTTTTCATCTGAGAAGAAGAAGAATCCTTGTTTTGTGCATGCCCATTGGGCAATTTGCCCACGACAAATCACCCAGTGGGCATGCGCAAATCATCAGGAATCGTGAGGTCAAACATGTTTGATTTTCTCCCGACCTCACGATTCCAATTATACAGTACACTACACGACCCCCGATCAAGCTGAAAGTCGCCCGGATCGGAAAAATCGCACAACTGGAAAGTCGCCCCGAGAAGGGAAAAAAATCGTACAGTGTAAGTCCGGCTTTAAGGGTCTTTAGGTTTACGGGCTATGGTGAATGGGTCCAACGATTATGCACTTTTGAGTTCTGACTTCAACAGTCCTCAAGAATCCAATAGTAGAGAAGATATTGGAGGTAATCAAGGCACAATTTTTATTTAATGATGATAATGATAATATAATAATGGAACTTTATTGATCTCTGCATTTAACCCATCCCCTCGGGGAGCAATGGGCTGCAATTGCATGGCGCCTGGGGAGCAGTGGAGGCTGTGGGGATGGACTGAGTACCTGAAACCTTCAGGTACTTCAGGAAGTAAATGGTGAAAAGTGACCTGTATTATGAAAGTATTTTGGCTGTTTAGAACGAATCTAAAAGTGATCACTTCCTGAAATTCTCCATTATGTCACCTTGTGTGCAAGATATCTGGGGAATCATAATAGGATGACTTAGAATCCACGACAGCAGTGAAATTTTCTTTTTAATTGTGTATACGTGGTTTGTTTCCAGGGCGATGATGACCTGCTGACCGTATACATCGGGGAAATCTTTCTTGAGTTTGTCAACATGCTGCCAGCCTTCCAGACCTACTGTCTGCAGCAGTCCACCTCGGTCAACATGCTCAACACTCTGGAGAAGGAGAAGGAGCTCCTCAGGTACACAAGACCAAACAACCGTTCACCCTGCTGGGCTGTATGACAGAGAGGTCTGCTCTGGAAGCTTTCTGCTGTTTCTGCCACGGCTGCTCTGTGTAATTCTTAATGGATAGGACAGCGTCTTATCACTTATTCAGAAGTAGGTCTATTTTGAGAGTTAAGCTGCAATGATTCATGTTTTCAGACAGAATCTCCATTTCACCAACCAGCCAGGAGGTCCTATAACACCCTGTAATAAAGTTGTACATTTCTCAAGATACACCACGGCTGAAGACGTTTCCCCTTCTTTCTCATTTCAGAATATTCCTGGATGTTTCCCAGAATGACAACACCGCACTGCGTCGTATGAACCTGCGCTCCTTCCTCATGGCGCCGCTCCAGCGCGTCACTAAGTACCCACTCTTGTTGAGTCGCATCATTAAGGTCACTCCCGAATGTCACCCGGACTACACACGCCTCCGGGAGGCCAAGAGTCGAGTGGAGTCCCATCTGGAGCACATCAACATGAAGACTAAGCAGGAGGGTAACGGTGTCACCTGGTCTCTACGCTCGTTCCGCCGCGATAGCCGCAAGAATCGGGAGGTCATTAACATTGAGATGCGAGAGGTGTCGATGAAGACGGTTGGCTGGGCAAGAGAAAACACCCGGTTTGTCATGGAGGGACCTCTCCAGCTGTCCCAGCCGGCAGATGGTCAATGGCTAAAAAAGGGCAGCAAGGCCCTCAAGTTCCAAAACGTGCAGAGTTTGCTGATGGTGAGGACACAGCGGGGTGGAGACTCCCCTGGGCGGGCAACTGATGTCGGACGACAGGTGGAAGGCATGGCAGAGAGCGTTCGAGACGGAGTGCTGGTTTTAATCAAGGACAAGAGCAGCGGCAAGTTCGCAGTGCTGAGAGAGCCAATCCGTCTCGGAAACTGCGTTGTGTCATCAGATCCGGACTGCGAGGACACCTTCGAGGTGCTCGACATCAGGCGGGAGTCATTTGTTTTCCGTGCCACGGACAAATCCCACACCCAGCAGTGGTTCCACCAGATCAAGAGATACGCACGTGACTTGGGTACCTGGAGGAAAAGGCGAAACGCGTTGCCCAACATCATGATCAACGCCAACCAGACGCGTTCCTGAGGCTAGCCTCCGCTGCATCCGTGTTCCACTGTAAATAACCCAAAATCTTTGAGGCTCCTAAAAAAAACAAAAAAAAATCAGCTGACGGCATTTTCTGAGTAACACCACTGTTCTGTTAATTTCCGTAAACAATCACACAATCTGTCTCACACTGTTGTGAGTAAACTAAGCACTTTTTTTCCTATGAAGCAGTAAGTGCGCCATGAAACTGAGTGAGGATTTAACTTTGAAGCTGTTACAGAAAGAAAAAAGTAGAAAAAATCCCAGGTTTTTGAACAACCAAAAAAAAGATATCCTTGGGCTGCTCTTGCCAGCCTTGATTGTAAAGACTGTTGAGTAGCTAAAGGTGTGCTTGATGAAAGCATGACTGAACATGACCGGCTGCTAAAAGAAAACAGCAATGTCATTTTTATATGAGACA